GGCGGGGACAAGACCCTGGGAGAGGGGAGCCAGTAGCTGGGGTTGGAGCCCAGGGGCAGCTGGGAGCATAGCCTGGCAGGCAGGGCTGGGAGCAGGAGTCTGGGGGTTGGGAGTGGACTAGTGGAGCCCATCAGCTGGATGTGAAAGCCCGGAGCAGACCCCAGAGGATGGCATTAGTAGCTGCAATGGGTGTGACTAGAAGAGGCGGCCTGATAGGGAGCCCTTAAGGGTTTGTAGCTGGGAATCGAAATGAATTGGGGGTGGGGGGCAGTGGGTTATAGTGCAGGGGGCTCCAACTTCAGGAAAAGGGGTCAAAGCCCTGAGCCCCACCACCCCATGTGGGGTGGGGAGGGCAAAGCTGAAGCCCAAAGACTTCAGCTTTAGGCAGGGAGAGGGCCAAAGGGCTCTGCTACTCATTGGCTTCAGACCCCAATAGTGAGGGAATCGAAATGAATTGGGGGTGGGGGGCAGTGGGTTATAGTGCAGGGGGCTCCAACTTCAGGAAAAGGGGTCAAAGCCCTGAGCCCCACCACCCCATGTGGGGTGGGGAGGGCAAAGCTGAAGCCCAAAGACTTCAGCTTTAGGCAGGGAGAGGGCCAAAGGGCTCTGCTACTCATTGGCTTCAGACCCCAATAGTGAGGCTGGAGCTTCAGTTTTGGCCCCCTCCCCCAGCAAGTCTAACACCAAGCCCAGATGACCCATTAAAACTGGGTCAAACCACAGTCTGAGAATTGCTATTATAGTAACATCTGCACACCCCAGCTGAGATGAGTGTCCTGTTGTGCTAAGAGTTGTACAGATTCATAGCAAAAGACAGTCAGTCCCTGCTCCACAAAGCTTACAGTCATTCTACACAAGACATAGACGAAGGGTTGAGGGGAAACAGGCATAGAGAAGAAAAGTGACTTGTCCAAAGGGACACAGTATGTCAGTGCAGAGCTGGGAGTAGACCCTCCCACATACACACTTTATCATCATAAATAACTAGCACATAGCCCCGAACTTCAATCGTGGTATGGCTGTCAAACTGACGGGGGGATAAAATAATATTGAGTTCTGTTTTGTGGCCCAGGGCTATGAAATAAGCCAAGTTAAACTATCCTTGATCCACAGCACATATCCCATTGATGGCAGTGGGAATTATGCAGAAAACCCAGCACTGTAAGAGTCAGTCCCCTAGATGAAAGGGGCAGCTCATATTATTCCTCACCAAGAGTTTGTTTCAGGCTCTGTAAGATGAGGCAACTTTTGGATGATTTCTTCACCATGGTAAGAGTTCACCACGTTTTGTGAAAGTTTGCATACTGTAGGCTTTTTCAAAAGTCAGCCCACATCTGTGGAACTTGTTACTGCAAGATCTAAAAACCATCTCTCCTCTTCTGATTTTCTAGTCCAAATGTAAAGCACACCTCTCCCATCTTGCCTTCCCAAACAATGATCCAGAGAGCATCAGCTTTTAAGGGCTTATCTACATAGGGAGGAGCTGAAGAACACATCTCCCATTTTAAATTCTCACTCTACCTTTTTCTGGAATAAATTTCATGTCTAGACACCCTAAAAAATGTAGTTTCAGTCCTGGAGAACAAAGCAAGAAACCCAACTGGACAGGAGCTAGTCACTGAGTTCCTTTTAAACCCTGGAAGGCTCTTGGATACCATGGCGATAAAAGCAGGATAAGATCCTAGAAACAGAATAGAAGAGAAAACATTCTACATTTGTCATATGTCAACTAAGCACAGCAAACAGGATCTTTTTGACATACCTGACATGGAATAGGAGCCAAGGGCTAATATACTGAGAACCAGCTCTATTAGCAAATTATCTTACATTTTGTTAGTAATGGATGTCTTTACCTGCCTCTATATATTTGTAAAATAAAATCAGCTCAGAGCTATTTTATACTGTCTAGATTATAGGAGAAAGGTCTGCTGATGAAGGCATAAAACTAGGAGTTAGGTTCTGTTCTGAGCTTTTATTGTATGTATCATGGCACTGTTTGTGGGCCCCAGTTAGGGATTGACACCAGTGCTCCCTGTAAACTGGGCTCTTGGGTGGCCACTCAGGAGAAAGTCAAATGCTGCCCAGCAGATTAGCAGAATGCCTGCAGCTCGGTTTTTGTTTCTACTAGCAGCGTGCCTTCGCACAAGCCTCAGTGCACATTAAAACTTACTCCACACATGGATGGAAAAAATCTGTACATGGTTGGAAAAGGTTAGAGGGGACCTCATTGTTCATTGCTGAACACACATCTAACACAGTCAAAGTCTGGGTCCTGCCACAGACACCCTGATGTGGGCAAGTTATTTCATTCACAGCATCACAATTCCCTCTGTAAAATGGGAGTATTAATCCTTGCTTGCCTCCTGGGGTGATGTGAGGATTAAATAACTAATCCTCACCAAATTCTGTGAATTGAAGATGTTCTATAATTGCAAAGTACTATCACTGTAAGGAAATAACGTACTGTATAACTAGGGGCACAAAAATCTTGCTATGCTGTACTTGCAGCATACCTGGAGCCCAAGGGCTGCTTGTAATTTATCATGTTAGTTAAAAAAAAACAGTGTTCCTGTGTAATAATGTTTGCCTTGAATCTTCCTTGGCTGAGGAATAGAAATTACTTCTTGTCTGAACTCTGTCAGGGCAGATCATCCCAAATCCATCTAAAATTCCCTCTTTGTATCACAGTAAATGCAAACTCAGCATTAAATAAATCCCACCAGTGCGTTAGTATAATTTTCATTTTCTTGTTGCAGAGGGATCATGAATTCCACGTATGCCAGGAAAAAACCCTTTCCTATTTGCATTGCTGTGCCATTCTCCTTTGTTTTCCACTTGAACCACACTGCAAACATGAGAGACTTAAGTTTATAATGCAGATGTTATGAAGTGTGACGATACTATGGTGATAACAATGAGATAGATAGATAGATCTATATCTAAGTTCCAGAGAATTCTAAGCAAATAAGGGCACTTGTTCATCCATGCTTTAGGAGATCAATTCATTTTATAAGTCTGCAAATATATTTCTGCCAGTCTGCGTGGGAGAGCTTATCATAGCTGCTCCAGTTCTTCCTGACTATCGATTTGATATTGGTTTTCTGGGAGCTCAGAAATTGCTGATAGCCATTAGGAAGCCATTGCTTGCTCCATTAGGCTCTACAGACTCTGCAGTCAGAAAGCCTTGGCTGACTCGAAAAGCAATTACTCTGTGTTATTGCACTTTCAGTACTGGACTTATACATTGAGAGGTTACATTTGGACTTGTCCTTCAAAACTGTTACCGGGAAGAATATCAGGATGGCCCTGGATGTCAGAAAGCAGGCCCTCCAGAGACCTTGAGCAAAGCACTCAAGCCAGATGCAGTGAAGTTGAGTTGTGGAGGAGGAGGGTAGCAGGGAGGGGACACATGCAGTTGGTTTGTTTTCTCTTTTTTAAATTAAATCTGTGTCATTCAGGAACATGTTCTGACACGAGATCATAAGCATGGCTGTACTAGGTCAGACAGAAAGTCCATATAGCCCAATATTCTGTCTTGTGATAGCAGCCAATGCAGCTGCCCCAGAGGGAAAGAACAGAACAGGGAATCCCTGAGGGTGCATCTGCACAGCAGTGCTTAACTCAAAATAAGCTACGCAAATTGAGCTACATCAATTGCATAGCTTATTTCGAAATCTCTTATTTCGAAATTGGGGGTGTCTACACAGCACTTATTTCGAAATAGAGCCCTCTTCCTCCAACTTCCCTTACTCCTTATACAATGAGGAGTACAGGAGTCGGAGTAAGAAGTCCTCCATCTTGACAGTATTTCGACATTATTTCAAAATAACGCTAGTTATTTCAAAATAAAGTTGCTATGTAGACGTACCCCAAGTGAGCCATTCCCTTTCACCCATTCCCAGGCTCTGACAAACAGAGGCTAAGGACACCATTCCTGCCCATCCTGGCTGATAAGCATTGATGGACCTATCCTCCATGACTTTATCTAGCTCTTTTTTGAACCCTATTAAAATCCTGATCTTTACAACATCCTCTGGCAAGGAGTTCCACAGGTTGCGTGTGTGCTGCATGAAGCAATACTTCCTTTGGGTTTTTTTAACCTGCTTTCTATTAAA